TTCCTTTCCATTAGCTGAAGAATGGACGCCAGAAAAGACTTTTTGCTGTGTTTTCTTGGAAACCTGGTGGTGCTCCAGAAGGTAACTTTCATAATACTGTTGACTGGGTCACCTGGGAGTTGAAGACTCAGACTTGTCCGTATTGAGCATCCAGCAATTCATCCGTTACGGGTCAGGTTTTCAGGCTCCAGCACTGATTTCTGAGGCAGTTTCTACCCTGGAAGGCAGTTTGTCCATTCTCGGGGGCGGGGGTTTGCCCCGTGTCCCGCCTCTGTCACTTAGGCACGAAGAGCTGTTGGCACCTTCCACACTCCCACATCCAGACCTGGAAACCTGAAGTCCCAATTTTGACTTTGAGGCTATTGAAAAAAATTTTTAATACTTATTTCTATTTGTTGATATATAGAGAAGTAAGTGTATATGTTTTCAGCTTCCTGGACTTCAAAACTTTACTTATTAATTTGAATTAATGTTAGAATTATGATGTTGGACTCTGTATTGTAGAGTCCATCATCTGCATAAGGACATTTTAATTTTTGCCTTAAAAATTTTGTATTTTTTTGTTAATCCATACAATTTTTATTTTACTGATTTTTATCTTCTGTATAATTTGTAATAGAAGTGATAGTTAGAAGCAACTTTGTCACATTTTTGTTTCAAACTGAGGATAATTTTTTAATGTTTATTTATTAAATGTATCAAAGACTTAAAATTCTATTTCAGTTTTCTAAAACTTTTTATTTATCTATTGAAATATTACATATTTTTCTCTCCTACTTTGAAAATGTGGAATAGTACATAGATTTTTAAATGTACTAATCTTGCATTCTGGGAATATATTTAATTTGGACTTCTAAAATTATATTTTTACATAGTGTTTAATTATTTCTGCAAATATGCTTTTAAAGAATTTTGCAAATATTTAAACTTCACTTGGTAATTTTCTTTTTAATAATGTTATATTCAGATTTTGCTGTAGAGATTATTCTGGACTTTTACACCTTTTACTTTTGATTTTGTTCATGTAATATAAACAAACGTTTCTCTCTCAAATGTAAATAACTTTTGAAAACCATGGATAGACATTTCTTAATAGAAGGTTTTAAATTACAGGTAGATTTTCTTAGATATTCAGATATTTTATTGTTTTTAGTATCAGTATTAAATAATATGATTTTCCAGAGATTTGTATGATTGTTTCAAAGTTATTGAAACAAGTATTAAAATATATTCCTATGAATTTATTAAAATTGGGTCGGCCAAAAAGTTTATTTAGTTTTTTCATAAGATGGCTCTAGTAGTGCTTAGTTGTCTTTTACTTCATTTGAAGCATTTTTGTTAGATTGCATTGTGACAGCTGTCATATCAGCATGCATTTTAAAACAATTTATCAAAATTGGTGAACTTTTGTGCAGCTATTTTAATATTGAAGGTAGGAAAATGTGCAACATTTTGGCATATTATGCTTTATTATTATTTAAAGAAAGTTAAAAACACAATTGAAACACAGAAGATTTGTGTAGTATATGGAGGAGGTGCTGTGACTGATCGAACATGTCAAATGTGGCTTGCAAAGTTTCTCGTTACTATTGACATTTTGGCCAAATAATTCTTTGCTGTGCAGCTGTCTTATGCATTGGAAGATGTTTAGCAGCACTCCTGGCCTCTACCCACTAAAAGCCAATAGTGAGAGCTAGCTGGCATATTCAAAATATCCATATCAATAAAGTTATTGGTGAAAATAAAAAATCTGTCTTATTTTATGAAAAACAACTAAATGGACTTTTTGGCCAACCCAGTATCTGTAGGTGTGTAGTGAATGTTCTTCTCACTTCTGTCATTGATTATTATACTTTCTCACTTTTAGTTTTTCTCAGTCTGGCTAATACGATTCACCAGTTTGTACTAGTCTTTTTCAAAGACACAACTTTAGGTTTTGTTTATTCTTTCTTTCTCTCTCTCTATATATATGATATGTATCATATATATATATTTTTTTCATTTACTCTGCTCTTTATCCTTATTTCTTTATACTTAAAGATGTTTGCTGTTCTTTTACTTTCTTATACTTATTCATTGAGATGGAATCTTAGCTCAGAGATTTGGACCTTTTTTTTCCTGTTTATGGTGATGGATTTTCTTCTAAGCAAGTTCTACATGTGAAGACATTTCTGTTTTTTTTTTTTTAACAATTTAAAAATCTGTTTTATTGGAGAATAATTTACCTGCAATAAAATCAGTCAGTTATAAATATACTGTTTGAGGGTCCTTTAAAGATGCGTATAGTCATGTTACCACACCACCAAAAACGTGATGAGAATATCTCCATTTTCAAAAAAGCGCCCTTCTGCTCTCTTTTGGTGAATCTCCCCTTTTCCCTCCTGCGTTCTGACATTCTGGCAGGCACTGATCTCTTTTCTATCCTATAGAATCACATGAGAGTTTGATATGTATGTTTCTAATGCATATGTAACTCTCATGCAGTATGTAGTCTCTTTTATCTGGATGCTTTCTCTTAGCCTAACCTCTCCAAAATTCAATGAATAGTGTTTCAGTGTACAAGTACTGCATTTTTTTCAATGATGAATACTATTCCATTGTCTAGAACATACCATGTCTTTTTTTTATCCACTTACATTTGGTTCACTCCCAGTTCCGGGTTATTAATAAAGTTCCATAACATCTGAGTACACATTTTTGCATAAACATAGGCTTTCATGTGTTCTTAATAAATGTACAGACTGTGAAGATGAGTTTTGTGGTGTGTGTATGTTTAATTTTTAAAAATACTCAATTTAGTCTCTGACTATGATGTTTTGCATTTAACTATCTACATAAGAAAATTCCAAAGGTTCCACAGCCTCTCCAACACTTGGTTTTGTCTCTGCTCTTAATTTCCACCCTTTAGTGGATGATAGTGTTGTTTCATTGTCAATTTAATTTGAATTTCCTTAAAGCCTAATGGTGTGGAACATATTCTAATGTGTTTAGTTGATATTTATATATCTTCATTGGTAAAAATTACTCATTTACTTAGCATATTTTGTATTATTGAATTGTAATACTTCTTTAGAATACATGTCTGCAACTCAATATATGTTTTTAAGTACTTTCTTCCTGACTTACCTTTTCATATGTGTGTATTTTTTAAATTTTTACAAGCACATTTTCATCTCTTTCATGTATTTTGAGACCTAGTTAATTGATTATTTCATAATCCAAAAACACATAGGTTTTCTTCTCATATTTTTCTAAATTTCTGATAGTGTTTAGCTTATATATTTCAGGGTTTGGTGTATTACATTTCATTTTTTGGTATGGTTTGAGATGTTTCTAAGTTTCATTTTTACTTTTTTTTGTTTTACTTGCCTATAGATAAGTATCTCAGTACAATACATTAAAAACAATATCATTTCCACAATGAATAACCTTGCCAAGTTTGTGAAAAATCCAATTTCTTCATTGTTTAGAGGACAGGTAAATTCTATCAAAGTTAATCATGATTGGCTCAAAGCAGAAATCAAGCACAAATTTTAATAAGCAGTTTTAAAAACATTTATTATAAAATGATATCTAATTCTGATTGTATTTTTTTCAAAAACATTCATAGCTTCATTTTGAAACATAAAGTAGTTTGCCTGGAGTGTCTTTTTATTGAATTATAGTTCAATTCCCATTTGGTCAGAAAACATCATGTTTTACATTTGAAAACATGCTGAGATTGTTTTCTGGCCTAGAATGTGATCAATTCTGTTATACAGTCTATTTGCACTAGACAACAATGTGTATTCACAGTTGATGAGTGTAGTCTTCTATAAATGGGCATTGGGTTAATTTTTTTAATGTTTTTCAAATCTTCCATGTCCTATTTATTTTTCTTCTCAGTTATTCAGCAACACATGTAAAAATCTTTCAGCACATAATAGATAACATGTCATTATGGTATGGCATCTCTTCTAATGCATTTTTCCTTATAATTATTGCAAACTTGTACTTGATACTATTTGCATTGTGTAGCTTTATCATCCTTTCCTTTTAACTCTTATAAATGGTTATTTTTAAGTGCAATTTTGATAAGCTGAATAAATCACAGCTACAATACTTGTGTTTTAACTTGATTATTAGTACATTTATATTTAAGTTTTATATTATTTTATTTGGTGTTAAATATTTAATTTCACTATTTTATTTACTTGGTCAAATAGCTTCATTTTCTGTTTCCCTCCAACTTGATTATAATTTCTTTTAAGAATTCTATTTATTTTTTATCACTGCTTATTGGAGTTTATTTTCTTTCAAAAATTTAATCCACCATTGTACTGTTTTATGTTGCTGTTGTTTGTTTTGAGAAATGGTACTTAGGTCCACTTCAGCACCTTTGAAGCTAACTATTTTGCATGCTGTTTTTAAGAAGTTTCTATTTGTTTAACTTCAGGAGTTCTGTTGTGATGTATATAGACAAAGTGTTTATTTTCCTTAGGATTCCTTAATATATATATATTGTCTCTCCAAGGTTATTTCTGTATATTTTATCTCATCTTTTTTTTTTTGGTGGGAATTCCAATTACATATTTATGGAACTTTATATATATATATAGAGAGAGAGAGAGAGCGAGAGAGAGAGAGAGACAGAGAGAGACAGAGAGAGACAGAGAGAGACAGAGAGAGAGACAGAGAGCTTTATCTTGTCTTCATTATCTTCATTATTTTGTCCTTATATACTTTATTCTTGATATTTTTATTTGTATTTATTTTTCTAGCTCCATAAGACCCCCCCTAAACTGTGTCTTCTCTCCAAAGTCCCTACATTGAATACTTAATTTTCACTTATCTTATGTTTATGTATTTCATTTGTTTTTAAAGTATTTTCTAATTCTATGCTGACCTTTTAAGTATTCTATTTAATTTCTTTGAACATATTAAGTATACTTATTTTAAATTTAGGTTTGAGAACTCCAGTGTCTAGAATCCTTGTGAGCATAAGTGTGTGTTTTTGGTTCGTTTGGTTTTTGTAGTCAGAGCATTGCCAGTCCTGACTGTACAGAGACACTAATCACGAGTCATGCTCCCTCCAGTCATCATGCTCCCATCTGCCCTCCAAAGGGAAGAACATATAAGGATTATCCTACTTGACAATTGTGCGTGCATTTCAAAAATATTGTGTCATGTGGGCTAGTTCACATTGCCTTTTCTTCATATGTACCCCATTCTTCTTATTATTTTTAAGTATACTTTATTGATTATGCCATTACAGTTGTTCTTCCCCCCCTTCATTCCTCTCCACCCTGCACATCCCCTCCCCCACCATTCCCCCTTTTAGTTTATGACCACGTGACTCAAGTTCTTTAGATTCTATATTTCCCCTACTATTCTTACCCTCCCCCCTGTCTATTTTCTATCTACTGTCTATGCTACTTATTTTCAGTACCTTCTCCCCCCCTTCTCCTTCTCCCACCCCCCCGTTGCTAACCCTCCATGTGATCTCCATTTCTATGGTTCGCTTCTGATCTAGCTGTCCTCTTAGTTTGCTTTTGTTTTAGGTGTGGTTCTTAATAACTGTGAGTTTGCTGTCCTTTCCCTGTTCATCTTTTTTATCTTCTTTTTCTTGGATAAGTCCCTTTAACATTTCATATAATAAGGGTTTGGTGATGATGAACTCCTTGAATTTGATCTTATCTGACAAGCACTTTATCTGCCCTTCCATTCTAAATGAAAGCTTTGCTGGATAGAGCAATCTTGAATGTAGGTCTTTGGATTTCATGACTTGGAATATTTCTTTCCACCCCCTTTTTGCCTGTAAGGTCTCTTTTGAGAAATCAGCTGACAGTCTGATGGGAACTCCTTTGTAGGTGACTGTCCCCTTATCTCTTGCTGCTTCTAGGATTCTCTCCTTCATTTTAATCTTGGCTAATGTAATTATGATGTGCCTTGGTGTGTTCCTTCTTGGGTCCAACTTCTTTGGGACTCTCTGAGCTTCCTGGACTTCCTGGAAGTCTATTTTTTTTGCCAGATTGGGGAAGTTCTCTTTTATTATTTGTTCCAATAAGGTTTCCACTTGTGGCTGTTCCTCTTCCCTTTCTGGTACCCCTATAATTTGGATGTTGGAGCATTTAAAGATGTCCTGGAGGTTCCTAAGCCTCCTCATTTTTTTGAATTCTTATTTCTTCATCCTTTTCTGTTTGGTTGTTTCTTTCTTCCTTCTGGTCCACTCCCTTGATATGAGTCCCAGTTTCCTTTTCATCACTATCGGTTTCCTGTGCACTTCCCTTCATTTCAGTTAGTTTAGCCTTCATATGTTCCTCCAATTTGTGACTAAAATCAACCAGTTCTGTGAGCATCCTGATCACCAGTGTTTTGAACTATGCATCTGAAAGTTTGCCTATTTCTTGGTTACTTAGAGTTATTGGCTCTGGGGCTTTGAGTTCTCCTTGAGCCATAATGTTTTGCTCTGTTTGCTCCGGTTAAGTATGAGGAGCACAGCCTTAGGTGTTCACCAGGGTGGGGCTTCCCAGGTTGCTGGTTTGTAATGCTGTATGTGGGGGTGGGGTCAGAGAAGGACAATAGCCGTCCCCTCTGCTGCTTCCCACTGCTGGGGCCTGTATGGTCTGGTCTCACTGCTCGCTCCTTTGCCGGTTTATCTGCGCTCAAATGTGTGACCATTGTCAGCCCTCAGTGGGTCCACCTGCTGCTACTCCACACCTGGGGTCCTCCTACGGCTGCCTGTGCACCTGGGTCGTGTGCCCCGGGTCTGGTGGATCTTTTCTGCCCAACCCCACTCCATTGCTGGCTCTGCCCCTCTTACCGGTTTGGCTGAAGGGTTTGTTGTGGCCAGATTTCCATATAGTTCAATTTTCTGTGGTTTGGCTGGGTTTTTATTGCTAAAACATTGTTGTTTTTAAACTTGGTTGTGTGAGAAGACACAGTATTCCCACCTATGCCTCCATCTTGGTGGGAGTCCTTTCTTATTATTTTTGATGAGTGGTGTTATCATACTTAAAAAGTTACAGAAATAGTTTAGTCTGGATGAAGTTATCTCCTTCAGAGAGCATAGGTATTTCCTCCTGCAAGTTGCTGGTGGTACTTACATTCCTTCTTTATTCAGTTTTGGGAAAGGAAATGATTAAAACCTGGCTTGAAGTCCTTGCAGATGCCCAACCTTTTGATGTCTCTGTGCCATACTGGAAGAAGAATAGTTGTCTTGGGCTATACATTAAATACATTGCCACATGTAATCATGAAAAAAATCTCATAATGTTTTTTAAGTAAATTTACAGTTTTGTGTTGGGCCACATTTGCAGCCATCCTGGGCTGCATGTGGCCTGTGGACCATAGGTTGGACACCCCTATGGAGGGAACCCCTCTTTGGTTCCCCCCAGTATGGCTTTGCTTTTTGGGTGTCCATACAAAACTAGGGATAGTTTATCAACTCCTCCTGTTAGTCACTGGATACCAAGCTCGTCTCTTTGTTCTGTGAAGCTTTCAAAAGCATTGCTCAGTGTTAATTGTCTCATTTATCGCTTTCTACAATGTCACCAGGAAACTCAATTGATGGAAGAAAGGAACCCAAATGCTCAACTTAATTCTCTGGGTTTCCTCTTCTCCTGAGTTCTGTCACAGTTATTTAGCTTTTATATTTCCTTCTTATCTCTCAAATGTTTACAGGCACACTTAAATTATTTCTCATGATTTTTTAGTTGTTCCAAACTTTCTAATCTACCATTGCACAATTCTCCTACCAATTTTAAAGTTTCTTTAACTTAAAACACTATATCTGTATATTCAGTTGATAACCATGTACTGTGTCATTTAAGAGTTCCCAAAGTGAAAAGGATATAAAAGTGAGTAACGCATATCATTGGTACAGGGGACAATAAGTGTGCAGAAACAATGTAATAACCATATTAATAAGGAATTATTTTTAATAATATAGACATAGCGGATTCCTATGTAAAGAAAAGTAGTTGTGTAATAAATAAGGAAAAATGATAATTTAAGGAATTATCATATGTTTTAAAAGTTATATAAAGAAAACAAATTTCAAATTGGTCAAAGATAAATCATTAAGTTCCTGAGAATCAAAATTTAATATTATTTTTAACTATTACACAGTGTCTAAACATCTACCATTTTCAGTGGAATGTCAGAGTCCATGTGTATTTCCCATAAATGAATGTATGTACACTAATTCATATTATATTAAAGCAATATAGAAAACTGAGGCAAAACTTTCTGTTCAGTTCATTGGAAAGGCTTTACTTTAAATGTGAGAAGACATACTGACGTGTGTTGAGAAGTGTAGCCTTTTTAAATTTTCATCCTTTCTTTTCAATTTTTTGTGTTTGCCAGATGTGTTTATTAACCTATTCATCAAATATTTATTGTGCACATGATATGTTCCAGGAATTCTCCTAGAATCTGGAGACAGAGCCATAAAAAAGACATTTATTTCTTGTCCAATTAAAGCTTAGAATATAAGATAACAATAACTGTATATTTAGAAATTACTCTGTGCCTAAAAATTGGCATAAGTTATATCATTTAATCCTCAAAATTTTTCACTGAAACATTATTATGTTTGTTTCCCACAGGGAGAAATTTAAATTCTTAATTCTATTTTAAGTCCTCAAGCCACATAGTGATGTCAGGCCAGTTTTGGAATCCATATCTTTCCAACTCTAAATCCAGTGTGATGCTGCTTCCTGAGTCACATGTTTTTTCTAACTTCTGCTTAGCTTATATTATTATCTTATTTACCTTTTATGTTAAAGAATACATTTTCCTCAGATTCTACTGTGTCCTCTAAGCATCTTAAGGGATGGAATCTGGAGGAATACATTTTAAAATATCTGCTTTTGTTATTGTAGTTCATTTCCTAGTTCATTCATTACTTATAGGGATGGAAAATTGCCCTCTATGGTACATAAAATTTATGTAGCCTGAAATTTTTTTTATGTGATGATCCAAGGCATTTCAGAATGATACACAGTTGCCTAAAAGTTAGGTTCTTCTAATATTTGGAATGTTCATTAATTAATTAGTATTATAGTAGTTCAAAAGGTGGCAAAATCTTCTAAAGAGATGATACACTGATGATACTTTCATAAAAAAATCTTTGATTTGAAGATATATGTTAATTTTGAAGTGTGTTACTTCTATATATCCTGACATGCTTTATTGAATACTTTGCCAATTTTTTAGGAGTAGGCCCAACTGGGAAGAAATTTTGTCAAGGGAAAAGTTCTTATCTATATGTGAGTCTTTGCATCTACTTACAATTTTGAGTTATGTTTCAAGAATCCTGTTTGCTTTTATCATGCTTTACAGGTATCATGATTTAAAATGAAAGTCCAATAGATCTCTTGGACTTTCTTGAATCTAGAAAAATAAGAGAGCTTGGGTTTTCCCTGAAAATGGTAACATGAATGCTGATAAAAGGATGATGTTATAAAATAATAAGGTACCAGTGGAAAACAAAATTGATTTAATGTATGCATAATTTGTTTGAATTTAGAGGTGAGTTTTGTTCCTTACAAGTAGGAAGGACAAATTTTAAATCTGAAAGTAGGAAGTTGTAAAAGAAATTACATCCATTTCAAATTAGCATGCTAAAAATATTCCTCATAAAGAATAAAATGGAAGGATCAGGGCAGGGGTCAATGAGAAGAGAAGAGTGACTAGTCTGCCCTGCCATTGCTTCACATTTTCATTTGGCATTGAGCCCCACAAATGATGCAGCTGGCCTTGTCCCTAAAACAAAATGTGAAAAAAAAATTCAAAACATTGTCATGTTAGATTAACATTTCCCAAAAGATAAGAAAAATTTAAATGTACATACTTTATAAAATTATAAATAACTATTTTTCTAGCTACTTTAATCAATGTTTTCACCTTCAAAGTGCATCAGAAAATCTCTTAATGTAATCTTTCTTTTTCTCACTTTCATATTATTTTTTCAAATATTGGTATGCTAGGCCATGAATAAAATCATTACCAACATTTCTCTTAACATAAAAAGAATTGTAAAAATTTATATAAAATTAGTTTAGTCTTTAATTTTTAGTTTTCTTCATTACATCAGAGATACATGTAATGTAATGTAGTGTAATGTAGTGTAATGTAATGAGCTACATTACATG